ACACTGCCTTTCTTCTGAGAAAAATTCACTTTATTGTTTTTGGTCCATACCCAGAGTGCTCAGGGCTTTCTCCTGGTTCTGTGCTCAGGGATCACTCCTGGTGGGCTCAGGGATTGAACCTGGTCAGCCACATGCAAGGCAAACACCCTACCCACTGTACTATCTCTCCAGCCCTGAAAAATATACCTTTTTTTTTTCAATGCTATCATAGTCAAGCTTTCTATTCTCTAAAGTGAAGAGCAATTTATACTCCTGATTCACTCAGTCTTACTTGCAAAGGCCTGGACTTCAGATTAACAGATAACTGCATAAAAACATAGACACAGAACAGGGCCTTTCTGTCCCCTTTCTGGCAGGCTAGCAGGAGTGGCAATGGCTCTAGGGACACCCTCCCAGGCACTGATAGCTCTGGCCTTATTTTACTTCCTGGGTGTCTTTTACCAGGGACACAGACAATAGACTTTATTGACTCATAATTGTTACTTACAAGCCAATGATTTGTAAATTTCCTCTCTTAATCATCCTTTCAGTTGATCAGAAGGGATATTAATAGCCTGTTCTGAGGTTAACTTATTTGATTGCACTTATTAACAGCAGAGTTGAGAGGCAGGTTAAGTCAGAGTAACACTAGATCTGGCTGGTGGTGATCACGACCACCAGTCTTGACACTATTTTGAGGGCCAACTTGTAATTTTTGGAGCCAAAATCTTCACTCAGGCTGGAGCCTGGGGCCATACCCTAGAAGGACAGGCTTACATAGGTTGTTGTCTGTTGCCAGCCCCCTTCTGGCAGGGGGATACAGGATCTGCCCAGGCTCTGCAGACAGGCTCTGAGCCAGGCTGCACAGATGCAGGCAATCCTCTGAGACAGGCAGGGAAAAGTTCCAGATGAACTGCCAGACTCCTGTGTCTGAAACTCTGAGAGATGAGGAAGAAATCTGGGTGATACACGCAGAGACAAAGCGATTGCAGGGCTAGAATGTGCTTAAACTCAGGCAAAATAAGCAAAGGGCAAAATACACAAAGAAGGGATATATGTAAGGATCATCAACTCTCTGCTGGGAGTTCTTGCTTGTAACAAATGGTACTCCTTCCTCTCTTGTCTTCCTCGGCTGGATATGGAAGTCTGGAGTGCAAAGCTTTGCAAACCCAGATTTCCAGTAAGTAGCTGTAACCTTGAAGAACTCACAGAGGAGGAAGACATTAAGAGATCACTGCCAAAGAGTCAATTAATTAGGATTGTGATACCTGCCAGGAGAGAAAAGTAATATTCACAGGGAGTGTATCAGTGGGGAACTAGATCTAATCTCTTGTTTGGTTTTTGGTTCGGGTCCACACTCAGTAGGGCTCAGGGCTTACTCCTGGGTCTGTACTCAGGGATCTCTCCTGGCCGTGCCTGGGGAACCACTGGTGCCAAGGATGAAATCCTCGGGTGGCTGTGTGCAAGTCAAGCACCTTACCACTGTACTATCTCTCTGGATCTAGGTCTAATCTGAAGGTTCATATTCAAATGATCTCCTTTTCATTTGTCTTCCTATGAGTCATCTTATTATCCTTAATAAGCACCATGTTTACTGTATTGTCGCTCAGGCTGTATCCCTAGACAAGTCCTGCTACTTGGACAAAGCCTTTATACTGATCTTCTGATAAGTCTCCCCACATTTTTTGTTTGTTTTGGGTCACATCCTGAAGGCACTTGGAAACTATTTCTGGCTCGGCGCTCAGGGTCTCTCCAGGTAGATTCTTGGCCAACCATGCAGTTCGAGGAATCGAACCTATGAAAGGCAAATGCTCTACCTCTGAGTCACATGCACCCACCGTTTTTCTTCTCACTCAAGATCATGCTCTACACCAGTAGTTCTCAACTGCCAGTTCAAACTACCTTCAGTTCACGGGCATAAAAATGTTGAAAATCACAGCTCCTACCTCACAGCTAGAGTTGTATTTCTAAAAAGCACTCTGACCAGCTCCTCCTTACAAGTGCACCAAGGTTACCTGTCTTGTGAGTTAGAGGTTGTTTGGTCTGTCTCTTTTTTCTTTTCAAACCTATTGCCTATTCCTCTCCCACAGGCATCTCTCACCTCAGACTCTCAGCTCTATTACTGTTTACTCATGTTTGCTCTGCAATGTTCTCTCCAGCCATCTCAGCCCAGGAAATGACTCTTGAACTCAGGTGCTCACTCAGAATGTGCTGGAGATGCCACCAGAGAGGAGTCCCTGGCTTCCGGGTGGGGCACACACACACGATCTGTGAGGCAGGAAAAGCTGAAAATCAGAACATCTTTGAGGACTTCCCAGAGGGCAATTTTTGCTTCTCCCAGAGACTAAAAGCTTTGTGAGGATGGTGACAGGGTTTGACGGCCACTGCTGTACTCCTGGACATGCCTGGCACAGAGTAAGAGCTCCATTGTTTTTCATTGGATAAATATATGAACAAATAAATGAAAGTGACAACAGTGCTCTTAAGTTGCCTCCCTCTGAAGTCGAAAGGCCATAGGCTCTTTCCATGGTCTGAGTTCCTTCTGGGAAGAGGTTGTACTTCACTTATAATCTGAACACTACAGTGTCACTTGGTCAGGTGGTTTCACCCAGTGCTGTCATTTCTCATGATAACCCTTGAATTAGTATCTCTATTTTAGTATCTTATTTTAGGGAAACTTTCCTCCTTCCTCCTTCTACCTGTTTCCTCCTCCCTTTCTTCCTTTCCCCTAGGATGTGTGTATGGCCTGCGTATTTCGACTGTAGTCCAGAAAAGGATTTAGATGGGCTAAGTATAGTTGATTATGAGGGCCAGTGAGGCTATAAATCAGGGGCCTCACAAACATGAAGCTCCGAAATTTTAAAAAAATAGGTGGGGGGCTTGGGAATCCAGCAGTGCTCAGGGATGACTCCTGGCAGTGCTTGAAGGACCATATGGGCTTCCAGGGATAAAATCCTGGGTTGGCTGCTTGCAAAGCAAGTGTCCTGCCCACTCCACTATTTCTCTGGCCCTTCAATTATAAAATTTTGCTGTTATGTTTGAATAAATTAAAGTGTGACTGTCACTTTTTGGTTAAATGTAAATATTTAAAACATTCATTTTCACAATTCAATCAGCTAACCAGTGGCTGAATAAATATCAGTACTCCTACATTAAAAAAAACAAACATTCATTTGAAAAACTATTTTAGACGGCCATTGTTCCTTTTAGCTGTTCTAAGTCAAACAATTAGGGAAAAGACCCAGATTCAGAAAAGTCAAGTAAGTTTGACCAAAGTGTTACTAGTGGAAGAGCCTAAGTTGGGACTGGAACCCAGGCTGCTTCCCTCCAGAGCTTCCGCTGCCTCACAAATGGAACAAATGATTCCAACATATTCTATCATGAAGGTACTTAAGGGATTTGAGTCAGAGAGATGGTTGCCTTTTAAAGGCCAACCAGGTTCGATTCCCAGCATCCCATATGGTCCCCTGAGCACCGCCAGGAGTAACTCCTGAGTGCAGAGCCATGAGTAACCCCTGTGTATCACCAGGTGTGACCCCCCTACCCAAAATAAAATTCCAATACAGACTGACAGGTTGAGGCTCAGGTTTGGTGCCCTATCGTCTCCCCTGAGCTCCACTAGGAGCGACCCCAGCACAGAACTCAAGAGTCTCTTCTGCGAACTGCTGGGTGTGCGTCCCCCACCTCTCCCCCCACCCACCCACCCACTCCGAAAAAAAAAATCCTGCATTTACTTTACTACTTTGGCAAGTTGCTCAGCTTCTCCTTTGAAAACAGGAGGCCACAATGCCGGGTACCACGGGAGAGCTCCTATTAAGAACTGGGACCGACGGCGCGTGCAGCCCGGGGCACAGGCAGCCCACGTCCTGTGATTTCCAAAACTGCATTTGAGTGACTCAGACGTTTATAACGCCTGCTCTCGGCCTGGAGCTTGGAGTCGTCACCATCATTCAGCTGACGGGTGCGAACTGATGCACTCGCCAATTTTTTTTTTCTGGAAATAAATCTTTGTGGGAGGATAATCACCGGTTGGAAATTGGGAGCCTTGAGGGAACAAAGCTCTGAGAGCCTCATTCCCCGGGTGTGGTGGTGGTGGTGGTGGGGACACACAGCCACGGTGCAGACCCCTCTGAACCCCCCCACCCCCCACCCCACCATGTGGCAGCCACTGGGCATGTACAGCCTGGGGCCAAGAAGCCGGGTTTTAGGTGGGGGATGGGACTCAGCGGTACAGCAGGTCTTGCACGGGGTACAGGGTTCCATTTCTAGCACAGCCACCCCTCATCGCCCCCTAAAAGCCCCTAACAAACGCCAACTAGCAGCCGGGTTTTAGCGGGGTGGAGCGGGAGCGCCCCTAATTCCGCTCTTCTTCTTCTTCTTCTTCTCGGGGACCACACCCCGAAGGCAGGGAGGGACTCCCGAGAGAGCGGGGCGGAGGCTCCGGCGCAGCCCCAGACCTCACCATCTATGGTCACGGCGCGCACCCAACAAACAGGAAGCGGGGTGACTGCCACCTTCCCACCCCCGGCGCTGGGCGGCCGACCCGCCCCGAAGCGCAGGCAGGACTCCACGTCTCCTTCCCGACGCCCCCTCCTCACGCGCGGCCCCCTCTCAGAATACCCATTGCTCTTCCACGTCACAAAAAGAGAAACTGACTTAACACGCCCAGAAAGGGGCGGAGCTTAGCCACCAGCTCCCCCCACCCCAAGAGAAAAGCGAGAGAGCCGCCCCACGCTCCCGCCCCCAGAGGCTCCGGGCCCCGGAGTCCCTCACGAGACCCCCTTCCAGAGAGCTAAGGCTCGCGAGCAAACGGACAGGAGAATCAGCCACTCCTTTGGCTCCTTTCTCCGGGGGCGGCGCTTCACTAGTATTCTCCGCTCCTCATTGGCTAGGGAGAATCCCAGCGGCGCGGCGGTTGGCGGAGGGGCGTGGCCTACCGCCGAGCACGCCCCCTCTCGCTCGCGGGGCGGGGCCCTGTCCTCGGTGCACCGCTTTCCCGAGTCCCTCTCGCCCGGCTCGGCTGCCGGCGGTGCGTTTCCGGTGGGGGTGCCGCGCCTAGAGAGGGCCCGGAAGTGGGTCGCGCGGAGATTGCTGGGCTGTTCTTGCCGGAAGTGGAGAGCGGCTGAGCGCAGTCCGGAGGTGAGGCAGGAAACTCGGAGGTGAGGCTGCGTGGTCGGGTCAGGGATGGGGGGCCCCGCCCTCGGCAGCCCCCCGGCCCTTGGCGTCGTTTAGTGGCCCCCGGTGGCCTGTGCGCTGGCGGTGAGCTTTGCCGGAGGGGGCCGGGGCGAAGGTGCTCGGGCCGACCTGGGATCCTGGGCGCGGCCGCTTAAGGTGGGGCCGGGGTGACCAACAGAGCCTGGCCTTCGCGACGAGAGCCGCCCGCTAGATTTCGCAGTCCGGCCCCTCGGCCTCGGCAAAGGCCTGTGTGCCGGGGTGCGGGACCGGCCGGCGCGGCCGAGACCTTGGAGTCTCCTGGCTCCCCTCCTCTCGCCCCCGTCGCACGGGTCTGGAAAGTGATCCTTGGTGAGCTGGAGGTGAGAAAGATCCCGCGAGGGATGGGAGCTGGGAAGTCCGGACCTCCTACGGGGTCCTGCTGCCCACCCACGCCCTGCCCCGGGACCCCTGCGTGGCGGTGGGCTTCCGCCGCAACTGTCAGTTACAGCCCCGCTGCAGGAACTCGATTTCGAATTGCTGCCTGGCGGGGCGTGCCGGGGAATTTTAGTCAGAGAGCAGGGCCAGGCCTGGTATTGGGTTTGACGTAGCCACTCCCTCCAGCTATTTCTGCTTTCTCCGCGAAGCTAAGTTTATTGACGGTGTTCGAAGGTTTGGGGGGCTTGAAATCAGATGCTCCCTGGCTTGATCGGGATCAAGACGGAGAAGTATGTGTAGCCCCAGCTGCTGTCGTGAACTTGTTGAGCCTCATTTTTCTCTTAAGTGGAGATTGCGCCTCGCCTCCCAGGATTAAGTGGAGTGTAACGAATCGTGCTTATTTGGCCTCAAGTATTTCTTCTGCTTTATCAGGGAATGCAGTTCTGGAGGGTGGGGGGGGGGGGGGGGCGGACAACAGTAACCAAGCGAAGTCCTGCCCTCATGAAGCAGATTGTGTTTGCAGAGACTTAGAATTTATGTTGAAGGTGCTGAGTGTTGGAAAAGAAGAGGGTGCTGCTGCGGAAGTGTGTGTTGAGTAGATGGATGGTGAGGGTGGGGAGGGAGGAATTAGGTAAATCGTTTCTGCAGAAGCTAAGTTGAAAACGAGTAGGGAAAAGCCCAATGAAAAGGGGCCAAGGACATGCTAGTGGTTAGTGTCATTTGAAGCTCTTTGTGGGGAGAGGGGGAATCTGTATTTAATTGGGACGGAGGGGACAGCACAGGCCTTTGGTTTTAAACCAGCCCTTGTGTTAGGTACTTAGCGAGGCACTTGGCACTGTTGTCCAAGGACACAGTTGTTCTGGTGTGAGGAAGGGAAGACAGGAAAATCAGAAATCACGCACACTTGTAAAGCGAGTACAGGCCAGAATAGGGAAATACCCGAGCCACATTTCCATTTGGGGAAGAAATGGGAGGCTAAGTCTTGTGGATTTCTTTTGCAGGTTGGAGAATCTGGGAAAGGGATTGCCAGGCAGAGAGTAGGTGCAAAGATGGGAGCTCTAGTTCCGTGATAGAACATAGTTTATTTAGTGTGGCTTGGATTCCAGTAATGAGGGGAAAATGGAAGACATAGGAAGCAGTGAGACCAAATAGGAGATGGGTCTTGTGGAAACCTATGAAGTCATTTGGGTCACAATTACTCTGAAAACTGTGGGGAGGCTTTGAAGGGTTTTACGTAGGAAAACCGCGTGATCAGATTTATGTGTTAGATGGTTGAGTCTTTCACGTGGGAAAGGAATAATGGAGACGTAGTCCACTATTTGGAAGCTGTCACAATAGACATGAGAAGGAGAGGAGAAACCAAATTTGAGCAGTAAAGGTAAAGGCCCTCCCGTTGATCGTCGATTTGCTCGAGCGGGCCCAGTAACGTCTCCATTGGAGACTTTGTTGTTACTGTGTCTGGCATATCGAATACTCTCGGTAGCTTGCCGGGCTCTCTGAGAGGGGTGGAGGAATCGAACTCGGGTCGGCCATGTTGGCCGCTTGTAAGGCGAACGCCCTACCGCTGTGCTATCGCTCCAGCCTCCAAAACAAATTTGAGCAGTATTGGAAATATTGAATCGGGGCTGGGAGACCACTCAAGTGGTAGAGTATGTACCTGACATTGTGTGAGGCCCCGAGTTCAGTCTCGGCACTACATGCCCTCTAACTCTACCCAGCACACCTGAGTGTGTAACCCTGGTAGCCTTCCAGGTATCTCCAGGCAGACCAGAGCACTGACTTATCAGAAGTGCAAGGAGTGCTCCTATTTAAAAAGTAGAATCTAGCCCGGAGATAGCTCAGATGACTGGAGCACCTCCTTTGCACGCTGAACTCCGGGTTTGATCGGTGGCCTTGCATGGGCCCTTCAACACCCCTGGGAGTCATCCACAAATGCTAAACCTGGAATACCAGGTTTGCCGCCCCCATTTCCCCCCCTCAAAAAAATTCTTTAGAATTGGAAGCTTTTTATCAGAATAAAGAAATAGTTGTAGTTTAGGATAACTTCCTGGTTTCTAGTTTAGGTAACTGGCTGGTACCATTCACTAAGGGAGGCTGTGGAGGGTGAGTTAGCAGGTTGATGTAGAAAGAAAGTGAATTTTGGACATGATGCGTTTTTGTGGTACATCTAGATAAACTTTCCCAGCTAGAGGACAGAACAAGAGCAAAGATATGGAGGCTTCAGAAGAGGCCTTATGTTGTTTGCTGCAGGGCAGGCACCTAGAGTTTGTGGCAAAAGAAAAGACCATACAAAAAGGTAGCTCTGTCTGCTAAATTGTAATGGACCTTTAATATCTTGCTTGAAAGCTATTCTTTGGCTGCCAGTTTGCTCATTATTTCAGTTGCTGTGGTCTAGTATAAAGAAATTCATATAAGAATTTTGCACCCTGGGGCTGGAGAGGTAGCACAGCGGGTAGGGCGTTTGCCTTGCACGCGGCCGACCCTGGTTCGATTCCCAGCATCCCATATGGTCCCCTGAGCACCGCCAGGAGTAATTCCTGAGCGCAGAGCCAGGAGTAACCCCTGTGTATCGCCAGGTGTGACCCAAAAAGCAAAAAAAAAAAATTTTTTTGCACCCTTTTCCTCCCCAGAAATACCTTCATCAAGCAAATAAACATAATTTATGTTTCAGAGTTTAAATAAGATGGTAGCAGTGAGGGGCTGGTAGAGATGACTCAAAGTGCTGGAGAGTATGTGAGAAATCTAGGTTGATCCCTAGTAACAGAGTGGCGCTTAGCCCTGCCGTGTGTGCGTGGCCCCATAGACCTCCACAAAAATGGTTAGTGGGGCTATAGGAATGGCACAGGGGGTCAGGAGGGTTAAGGCGTGTACCTTGCATGCAACTGACCCCGATCGAGCCCCTGCACTACATGTGGTCCTCTGATCACAAGAAACTATTCTTGAGCACAAAGCCAGGAGTAAGCCCTGAGTACTGCAGTGGAAGTACTTTGTGATGTACACAGCCTGTTACGTAAACAGAAAGTGGTGATATTCCTAAGAATCAGACAGTGTAGTTTAGTTTTGAGGAGGTTGTATTTGTAAAATGTCACGTTTCCACTCTAGGTGTGATCTCTTTTGTTAACCCTGTTCTTGGATATACAGTCATTTATTTAGTTGCAGTTAATTAATCAGTGTCTAAGCCTATAAAAAGTTGACTTCCTCCTTTGAGTTTTCTGTGAAGCACTGTGATTCATTTAAGGTAAGCAAAGATTATCATGACAAGGTAAATCCTTGGGTTTGAAATTTGAGATATGAAAGCTGAGCTCCTCAGGACATTAATGTTATTTTTATTGTTTGAGAGGGGGCAGGTTTTGGGGACTACACCTAGCAGTATCGGGGCAGTTACTCCCAGAGGTCCTCATATCCCTAGGATTGAACCTAGCCTCTTGCGTGTAGAGCATGACTGTCAGCCCTCTGACCTGTCTCCCTCGCCCATCAACTCAATCCTGATTCTAGTGGTAATTTTGAATTTTGATCATTAGTTACTTTTTGCTAACCTGAACTTTCTACTTATTCTTCAGATTCTCTATCACAACCAGATTTGTTTTTTAATGATTTATTTTTGGGCCTCCCAAGCAGTGCTATAGTAGTAATAATTTTGCAGTATATAACTATAACAAATCAAAAGGTGTCCACCTTTTTTTTTGCCTTTGGGTTTTTTTATTGGGGGAGATGCACACTTCGTGCTTGAGGATACTCTTGACACAGTGCTCAGGACTTGCTCTGGCAGTGTTCAGGGTGGTGTTGGGATCTAACTCAGGGCCTCACACATATATGCAAGACAAGTAGTCTATCACAGAGCTCCATTCCTGTCCCATCCTCTTAAATTTACAGTGTTATATGTCAGTTACATCTCAATAAAGAGAAGGGGGAATAAAACAATTTCTTCTTTTATCTGCCATCATGCTAACCTAATATAAAAAATCAAAATTCTAAAAATATTTTTTCTGTTTCAAAGCAGCTTTGTTTACTTTGTATTACCAAGCCTGTCATGTCAGACTTTTCCATTTGACTGGAAAATAGTTGAAATGTTTAATGGAAAGAGTGAGCTTGCTCTTTTTTTTTTTTCTTCATCCAGCGGTCACTAAAGTTCTTATAGTTAATTATAGACTACAGTCACAGATCTTTTCATATTTCTAGTGGTAGCTGAATCATGGCATCTTTGAGTCCGCATGAAAATGAGAAATACATTTCTGTTCAAAGCAACTACCCAGCTGAGATGAGCTAATGAAGTGTTTCTTTATACAATGTAAAAATGCTGCTTGGTTTTCTTATTATTTCTGCAGCAAGTCTTCATATTATTCTTTGAGCATAAGGAAGAGAGGGACCCGTGACCTCAGACAATTATCTTTTTATCCCAGGCCAGTGAAACAGCTAGTTTCCAAGTCTGATTTCAGTTTCTCTGCTGTTTCTAGCTTGACTTACTCCTGGAGTTTCAGATAGAGAACTGAGCTTAAGGCAACAGCAGGAGACAAGTACTGATACTGGGTTGGATTCTTGCCCTTCCTAGAAGATAGGCCTTTCTTTCTCT